CAAACATAAAGTTCAAAATCTCCTAATCAGAAGAGTTTCAACAGTTTGAAACTAGAAAGTGGAAATTTAAGACATGAAGCAGAGTTTCTTTAACTCCTGAATTCAGACAAGGTTGCCTTCTACAGGTGCCTCGTCCAAGAACTTCGAACTACAAAGTAAGCCACCGAGAGACATAAAAGATAACACAGATAGAATTCATTTTAGTGTGAAAATTCAATGGCGAAAGACGTAAAAATAATGTCCATCTTGTATTGTAGTATAACACATTCAAAATCTTGCATGTCCCTTGCTCCCTGCTATGCAAGGAATTACTAATTACATAAAAAAAAAGAAAGAAGGAATCATAATGGCCAGAATTCAAAAAATCTCCACAAAGTGATGCAGATCAGGGAAAAAGTTTGACAGTAATGTGCATCATATGAAGTGCGAGCAGGTAATCGAGACAAGCGATCTTAATAGGAGGGATAGTAATGCCCTCCCTGCTGCCGCATGCCACTGACCTGTGGCATCCCGGAAGGCATCACCATTGGATGAGGACTAGGGCCATAGTAACCAGAGGCACCATTAATCCTGTCCAAACCCACTTGACCGTGCATCCCATCCCTTCCGTAATGTTGCCAGAGCTGCTGTTCATTTACTAGAAAATGCTGTTTCCTCTCCATTTCTGCTATCTGCACATAGGAAGGAGGCGGAACTGTCAGGGAGGCAGCAAACGGGTCCTGATTCTGAACCGGCTGTATTGTCCCATCAGGAGCAGGCAATGCCAACACTGGTGTTGCACTCTTGCCCACACTACTAGCACTCCCGCCAGCCAGTTGTGTTGTGCTCACATGTTGCCTTGCTGCCCCCTGATCATACATTCCATTCAAGAGCAATGAATCAAATCCACCCCCTAAAGTAGCTCTCTGTTTTGATAGATTGCTAGCTGACTCCACCAACGCCAATTCCCAATCTGCTTGAGTGCTCTGACCAGCTGGGGTTTGCCATGCTGAAGTCACTTCAGGTTCTCTAGGTGATGGGAATGCTACCCACACACCATTTGCATTTGTAGTTGAGGGTTCAGAGAATAAAGCCATAGCCAATTCGTTGCCCTGCTCATCTGCTGAAATGCCATCGTCCTTGAGATTTACCAAATCTTCTGTCATCTGTTGAGGCTGAGGCTTAGGCTGCTGCGAGGGAGGGGGTGGAGGAGGGGTATAACTCTCTGGAGGAGGAAGAGACTCGACCTCATTCATACCAGGTTCCTGGTCTTGATTAGCAGGAACCTTCTCCTCTATACTTCTCTCGGAACTCTTAGTTCGTCTATTAGTCATTTCTCTCAAGCTCTCCCCGAGGGCCCCCAAAATATTTTCAGTAATCTTCTGCACTTCAGGATACTCAGATGATCTTCCAATTCCTATATCCTTGCACCAAACATAAAACACCACCAGCTCATCAATTATCTTGGCTGCACCAGCATAAATATCAAAACCTTTAAGACAATATGCATACTCCATCTCATTAAATCTATCCAACAATACCCTCAATGCCTCACAAACCTCAGTGTATAGTCCAAAACTCTCCTTCACCACCTGGTAAAGGGCTACAAGCACCAATCTATCATTCTTGGCTGCTCCTGTTGGTCTGCAAGCCAAAACTCTATCAAGGATCCTCAACTGCTGGTCCAATATGCCTAGGAGTCTCTCTGGCTTCATTTCCCTAATTGCTGCTACTTCCATCTTCTGTTCACGCCTAACCAAATCACCATAGGAGCTTGATCTCTTGGGCATCCCATACTCAAATTCATCCCTATTCTCTCCACGTCCAAACCCATCACCGCCCTCGTCAAATTTCCTCTCATCCTCCCTCACTTTCCTCTCAAAAACAGAAAACTCGACCTTCTCATCGAGAAACATCGCGTAAAACCTCACAAACACTGTATGATCCCACGAATTAGAATGCGCCTCGTCTCTAAAATCCGACATATTCAAGACACGCATCCCATTCCTCGTCGCAAACAATAACGCCTCCTCAAACAAAGGGTTCCCATCAATCAAAACCCTATGGACAAGCATCAAAGCCTTCAAAGCCACAATCCAATCACGGGTTTTACTTATCCTTCTCGATATAGTAGCCACACAAGCATTCACATTACCCCTTGAACTCGAAATACGGCTTATAATCTCCCTATAATACTTCTCACCAGCAGGATCCTCATCATGACTAGTAGCTTTAACAACCAAAACCTCAAGTTCTGCTGATGCGTTCGCGGCCACTTTCGCTATACTTATACTTGTCTGATCTTTCACAGCCCCAATTGCTTTACGTAGAGCCATTTTTCTCCTCTGTCAGGATATCAGCCCCCAAAACTCTATCCTTCACCATAAAAAATCAAGAAAAGCCAATCAAAAATTAAATCTTTTTAAATGGGTTCATATCAAACAAGCCTAAACTACACCTTCATCAATAAAACTGCAACTGGGGTGTTCTTTTTATTTTACTTTAACCTTTCCTCGGTTTTTTTCATGGATTCTTGATCAGTCATAATCAAGTAAAAGAGAAAAATGAAAAAAGAAAGAGAAAAAGACAGTACCTTCGGCTTTGAAGGTTCAAATGGTATCGACCTTCGAAATGGGAGATCTGTAGAGGTGGCTGTATATATGCAAGAGGAGGTTGACACTCCAGTGAAAGAAGGACTCTCTCTCTCTCTCTCTCTCTCTCTCTCTGAGACTGCTTTGATTGTGTCGTGTTTCATTTCTGTACGCTGTTGTGGTACTTATTAGAGGCAACAAAGGCTGGCTTTCAAAAAAGCGCCTGATAGGCGGTGAGATGATGACTTTGAAAGGATAATGTGCTGCGTGTGATGAATTTGGTTTTGTGTTTTTGAAAAAAAAGAAACTCGCACTGGAACGCTGGCATTTTTAATTTGTTTAATTAATTAGTTGGCTTTTTATTTAGATTCGTATGATGTCTAAGTTATTTTATATATATTATAATTAATTTTATAGATTTTAAAATTAATAATTATATAAATTTTCAATAATTCTAAAATTTATGGTGCAACGAATTTGATTAATAAGGTGGAGGAGATTTCCTTTTCGTTTTAATTGAGTTTTGACTTTGATTTTTTCTCAAAAGTACATGTCATGGTTTTAATCGGCCACCTTCGTAAGTCAATCTGATAATATGTCAGTTCAAACCTTGATTCACTGTAAATTTTATTTTGAATCGGTTTTTTTACGAGAGTATTTAAAAATACGGTTAAAATTATATATTTTCAAAAGTTGATTTTTTAATTTATTTTTTATATTATTTAAAAATACAGTTAAAATTATATATTTCAAAAAATATATTTTTTATATTGTTAACTTGTTTTAATATGATATTTGAAAGCTAATGTTTTAAAATAAAATAAAATATATTATTTTAATGTATTTTTTTTAATAAAAAACACTTTAAATTATAATACTATACTTTCAAATATCCTTTTAATTTAAACCAATTTATTTTTCCTCATCAAAATAATATTTTAAAGTTTATCCGTGAACCTTAAACGGGATCAACCTTAGATAAAATCTTGTAACTAGGGTACATGCCACCATAATACTTTGCTTTGTGTGGAACGAATGAATCTTGCTAGTCATCTATTAATATGTGACGTGTGATTGGATTTAATAATGATATAAGGTATGGCTAATAGTTATATAGAAATGGTAACGTATCTTTCGAAGATGCAATATTATATTGCCGTCCTTTGCTGAATACTTCACTATTAATTGAAAATTGAAAAACGTTACATTAAAGAGTGTCCATATTTGAAATCTACAGTGTCTATAGCTGATCTATAATCAATACTGATCTATTGCCCCCGTTTTATCTTAAATTGTATGATCGATAATATAATTCATAATATAATAATTATTAAAAATTTATATAATTTTTAATTTTAATATTTATATAATTAATGAGATACTTAGAAGCTGATTGAATATCCACATTAATAAAAAAAACTAATTTATTGATATGTTAATATTTATATAAACAAGTATATTGAATTTACATGCTAATTTATTGAATACTGTACAGATAAATTGCTGGTGTCTAAGACTTATATCATAAATAATATTACCAATAATAATAGTTATAAAACCTGAACTACATTTGTATATTTATTTATGATAATGTCAGTCTATAGTTTGAAATATTCTTAATTATGTAAGAAATAGAGGAAAGAATTGTTATAGATTAAACCTATTAAAAACCTACCTGAGTTAACCAACGAAATTAGTCAAAATATATTGTTTTAAAAGATTTTTTTTGTCAAAGTGTTATTGTTTTGATTTAAAAAAGAAAAATTCACCCTTTTAATTCGTAATCCAACTATTATACTGAACCAAATCGGGCTTAACAACTCTGTTGGCAACATTTTATTGGTCCATGGTGCATGCTTCTACATGTTATAATGTTGTTATATTTCTCATTATCAAATTTAATGATATGATTTTTAGCAGATGGATATGATAATTGTGGTATTAACGAATAAATAATGTCGTCCCAAGTTAAATTCAACCCAACTTATTTTACCAAATAAATAAATAAAGCGATCCAATAGTTATAAAAATATTTAACGAGTGTCTTTAGATTATTTTTTAAGAGGTTAATAATTATTAGTGTAATGGTGGTTAAATGTTGCAATCATTATATGATATTACTTATTTAGTAGAATTTTATCAATGTTGAGTTTTATATTCCATGAAAAATCTTAATATGGTCCCCGTTTAAAAAAATTCAGAAAAATTCAAAGCACATGTCCTTTCCTACTGTGAGCTATTTATCCGCGGAAGGGTGTTTGTTATTGATTTTTAAATAATTTTTTATTAAAAAATATATTAATAATATTTTTTATTTTATAAAAATTATTTTTAATATCAATTTATCAAAATAATTTAAAAATATATTAATTTACAGTAAATAAAAAAATATTTTTAAATCTTTTAAAACACATAAACAGCGTCCCTAACCGCCGATTTGCCGCGACTCTTTATTTGTTTCTGTTTCACCATTCTCTCTCTAGCCCAACCCCAAGCCAGCTCACCGATCCAACTCACTCCCAAAAAATGTTCAGCCTCCGAGTCCACTCAGTAGACAGCAATCATCCTCTAACTCTTGAAGAAACGACCTTTATCTCCGCCGCCGCCACCACCTCCACCACGGCAGCCACCACCAAATTCTATGAAAGGAGAGGCATTTCACATCTATATCGAAACGCTTTGCAGAAATCCTCACTGCCAAACCCTAATCCTAACTCTCGATCCACTTCTCTCTTCGTCGTCGCCGTCCCTAACTACTTCTCCGAAGACGACTTCATCAGATTTTGCGGTTCCCATATTGATCATGTCCATGCACTCCTCTTCATCAGGTACTACCAAACCCCTAATTTTATCCCAGATTGAAAATTCTGTTGTCAGAAACTCTAATTTCATAATTTATGTTATCAAAAACGCTAATTTTTACTTTTAAGAGCAGAAAATTAAATTGATCATAACAAAAACTCTAATTTGTTTATCTTATGCAATTTTTGTTTAGGAATGATGGGATGGAAGATAGGTACAGTGTGTTAATAAAGCTTGATAATCAAGTAACAGCTGATAGATTCTACAATAGTTTCAATGAGAAGCGATTTTCGCCATCTGAGGTTAGTGTGTGATTTCGGCCATGGTTATGTTGATTTTGATTTTGTGTTAAGTAAATTGATGAATATAAGTGTGTTTATTTTATGATGGTAATTTTTGTAGGCAGAGATTTGCCATATACTATACGTGCTTTCTGTGGAATTCACGGAATCGGCAGAAATAGCAAGCACTCCTCCGGAAAATTTCACTGAGTTGCCAGCTTGTCCAATTTGTCTTGGTTAGTTGCAGTTTTCCTTTCGTTTTCTACAAGTTTATTTTTTTTTCTGGGATGGAGTGAATGTGGTATATGGATTATGGTATGTTGATTTTGTGTGTTGTTGCTTTTAGAGAGATTGGACCCGGATACTAGTGGAATACGCAATACTCTTTGTGATCATTCGTTTCAATGTTCATGCACTTCAAAATGGACGCACTTGTCTTGCCAGGTGAGCTAGGTTTTTTTTTGTGTGTTGGTGTGATCAAAGCTGCTCGAGACTTTTATCAGTGACATTGCACACACAGCAAACTCTGTTTTTGGTATTTAGTGAACAACTTGGCTGTTATGGTAAAGGATCAATTCATCTATTTTTGTTAGCACAACATGATGTTGTACCATTATTATAAATAAGAACTGAACGGCACATTTGTTCGAGTTCTATGTTTCTCTCTTTCCACATTGAACAAAATAAATCCCAACACCACATGGAAATCATAATATTCTGGGGATTCAATAGATGCATCCTTTTGTTATGAATATAAAAGGTAGTGGTTTGGTTATCCTGAGAGGATTTTGATTTGGTATGCACATTTTGTCAGGTCTGTCGTCTTTGTCAGCAGCAGGATGAGAAGCCAGCTTGTTCTGTTTGTGGAACTTCAGAAAATTTGTGGGTTTGTCTGATATGCGGTTTTGTAGGATGTGGAAGGTAATGCAACACTTCACTTGCTGAGTATTCTTATGTGAAGGATCTGAACATACCATATAAATTTCACAGTTCATATGATAACTGTAAGCTATCCTTGTCACTTGCTGGAAGTACACAGCCACTTATGCCTTTTTCCCTGAACTCAGATATAAAGAAGGACATGCTAAAAGGCACTGGCAAGATACACAGCATTGTTATTCTCTTGATCTGAGAACACAACAAATTTGGGACTATGTTGGTGACAACTATGTTCATCGGCTGAACCAGTCAAAAACCGATGGCAAGTCGGTAGATACAAACTCTTGTTGTATGTCGTTTGAAGGAGATTGTGGCACTTGTGGATGTAGTGAGGATTCTGGAATTAGTGGGGCTCTCTTTAGCAGCAAAGTTGAAGCAGTACGTATTTCCATATGAGAATTACTTACTTTGTCTAGTACAGCCAAAACTAGAGATGAAAAAACTTCTTATTGTGGGATTTTTTACCTTGCATGATACCTACATGTTAAGGAATTTGATAGGGAGTTTACAGCTCTTGCAGACAGGCATGATTAACTCAAGAATTAACATTGTTAGCAATCCATTGTACATGTCTTGACTTTGTTTCACATGCTTGATAATAGATTGCGGATGAGTACAATCGTCTTTTGGCCACTCAGCTGGAGGCTCAAAGACAAGTAAATACACTGTTTCCAGCATCTCACCACCTCATCTCTTTCTTTTTTTGCGGTTGATCTCTAGTGTTCTCATTTGCGAACTCTGCCTTGTTTAAATTTCTTGTTGAAATAATTCTCTAAATTGTACTCTTTTTTTTCTCTCCCAATTCTCATTGCATTCTTTCAGCATTATGAATCTCTAATTATTGAGGCCAAAAGTAAAAGACAAAGTTCCATTTCAGAAGCAGTAGAGAATGCTGTGACATCCACTATGCAGGATATCCAAAATAAATTGGAAAAGTGTGAGCAAGAAAAAAATGCTGTAGCAGATGTAAGTGTTCGAGTATCTCAAAAAGCTTTCAGAATTTGTATATGATAAAGGTGATGGCCTTTTGCAGCACTTGGTTTCCTTATAGATTCACTTCTTTTTGTTCTTAGATCAATCGGGGTCTCATCAAGAATCAAGAAATTTGGCGTAAAAAGGTCAAGGAAATTGAAGATAGGTATGCTTTCCATCCCCCGCCCTTTCCTTTCTGGAGCTGAATTTGTTGTTTTGATTTGTTTCTTTTGGTGGGGGAATGGGATTTACAGGGAAAATGAGGGTGGTGCGAATGCAGCTTTTTTTCAATAAGTATTGTTTCATGTTTTTATGAATATCTCTAGGATTGTTTCATGTTTTTATGAATGTCTCTTGACTACATGCTGCAGAAAGTAGACTTGGTTTCCACTGGAGTAGGTGCATCCTACAGAAACTATCTTAGCATGTTTCAGATGCACAACTTGCAGTGAATCCTTGCATTCTTTTCACTCTTTCCTCTATTTAATGAATGAAAAATTGTTTTGCTTTTCTTAGGGAAACTTCATCTTTATCGTCGAGGGCAGAGAGAATACATGATCTGGAAGAACAGGTGATACATTAAACTTCCAAATATTATGTCATGACTGATTGAAAATACTGGTCTAACAAAAGTTCAAGTGACCATTCACAGATTCGAGATCTCAGAGTCTACATTGAAGCTCAGAAAACACTTCACACCATGACAGATACGGATGATGGGATTAAAGGAGGGACATTGTTACCTGTACCTCCGAAGCAGTCCTCGCCAGCAAATAGCAGAAAACACACAAAACTGGGTCGTAAACGGAATTAGATACAATGTTTCGTATACTTGTATAGAGTTAATCTGATAAGCCAAAAGGAAACAGATTTTTTTGAGAAATAAAAATCTGGGATTCACATTGATATTTTTAGTTGTCTTTATAAATATAATAATGTTATTCATCCCAGATTAGTTCCTGAAATATTATTATCAACTATTGATGGGTATTTCTGGTTGAATAGCGTTATTCTTCTACGTGTGCATGCTTGCCAGTATCTTAAAGAGTTTTTCAGAGGGCCGGTCTTCAACATTTGCTGCTTGGATAGGTGTATGCCGGCATCCTAATGGACAAGCCACGAGGGTCTCTTCAACTGCAAGGGGGTAGGGTACTGTCATCTTTGTTGTATGCTGACATGACTGGAGTAACCAATCCTCGAATGACTTGTGTAATTTTCTTTCTTAATTTTTTTTTGGGGCTTTTGCCCCCTTGTTAAAAAAACAGAGAGAAAGAAAAACAGCATCCATACTGTTCAATAAAAAGAAGTAGCGGAACTCAACTCTTCATGGAGCATATAAAAGGGCATTTGTTATTCTAATACAGCTTGATAAAAAAATTTAAAAAATAAAACTGGATAAAAATATATTAAAAAAAAACACATAGTTTAAACACAATTGCTTACAAAAATCAGTCAAAGATTTTATGAAATCCAATAATAAAAAAATAAAATTCAATATTCAAGACTGAAAAATAACGGAAATAAAATGATGTAGCAAGATAAAATATTGTTGCAAGAGATAGGAATGAAGAAAAGAATGGAAAAAAAAGAACTCACACGCATAATAAATGTCGGAATGAAAAAGTAGTGATACCTTACTGAGTAAAGAAAACTTGAGATGAGAAGGAATGAATAAATAACAATAAATAAAACCAGTAATGGAGAGAATAACTTCTATAAATAAATTTAGAAGTATTATTGAAGTAAAAAAGAAATTTATAAGTTGAGTTAAAATTTGTCGGTCAAATCAATAACTGAGAAAAAAATTTGTCGGTCAAATCAATAACTGAGTTTCCACAGATAAAAAAATAATAAAAAATATGTTTTCAAACAAGAAAATGATGCCAGGATTTAGTGGAACAATTAATATTAATCATAACATTCGGGCTTTTGGAGTCAAATCATGCTCGGATTATCACATATAATGCTCAATCAACCATTAAATTATGCTGAAATTTTACCAGGAAAAAAAAAAAAAAAAGCCCACCCTCCTGACACATTGTCATACCTACCATTAAAACTTTAGGTCACTTGAAGCTCGTAGGGTTTTCCGAAATTATCAGTGGCTAGGTTGACCAAAAAGAAATTATCAGGCTTGGAAACAGGGTTATAAATTTCCTCCGCCCATATGAGGCAACGTCGGTCAACTATTCCTTGTTGGATCATCAGCTCCGCCCATATGAGGCAACGTCGGTCAACATGATCATCAGTGCAGAGCCATCGTCAACTATTCCTTGTTGGATCATCAAGTAGAAGAACTCGAAAGCAACCTCTCATTGAGAGTATCAAAACACATCAACGAAGGGGTGCATCCCTAAGAAGGATGGCACATGTCAAGGCGAAGAATCCCAACTCTTAATTGAATCAAAATCAACCATGCAAAGGGGTCAGAGAATAAGAGATGCAGAAAAAAAGAGACTGCTAATAAAAAGGAATAAAACAAGAGTAAAAAGCCACTAGCAGAGGGGGAAAAAATGAAAAAAATTAGATGGCCATCTTCGAAAATAGATAAAAATGAACACAGACAAAACAAGCAGCTCAAGAGTTTCTTCCTAAATCACCTTTAAAATTCTATAGTCAGACCTTCGACTTCAGTTTTTCTTCCTTCTTTGTTTTTGCATTTGACTCCTAGAATGTACAACCATAAAACTCATGCTTCTCCAATCATTTCTAATGAGGGGGAACGGAGAACATCATGCCTTCGGAAGCAAAATGATTAAATTGGCACTTAAAAAACGAGCTCTCTCCATCAGGATGCAAGTATCCTAAACCTATATTATAGCACCTAATTTCTGCAGCTTCCCCTCGAAAATCACAAAGTGGTGGGCCCAGGGAGCGGGATTGCATACAAGGCATGCACAATAAAGGTCCTGGTTGTGCACCCGACTACCTTTGAGCTTGTTCAGAACCAGCAGCACCAGAAGCTGTACTAGGGCCAGCACCATTTTCAACAGGAGGCAAGGTCCCCCATTTTCCTTCCGACTCCAATGGCTCAAGCACATGAATTCCACCGTCAGTTAGTCCCAGTGCGAATTGATCAGGCTCAGAGGGATGTGCAGCAATGACAAGAGGATACACTCTCAAGCTGTTAAAATTACATCATCAGGCAGATAAAACAAGCAAAAAAATTTTAATGGTTAGTCTTAGTGTTGAAGCAGAAGAAGAAGAAAAAGAAGCAACCTTGGATTGGGAGGTAAATAAGCAGTAGAATTTATTCTGCATCTCAATCTTAGTGTTGAAGCAGTGAGAACACCCACACTTCCATCTTCAAAACTAACATATATAGATTGGCTATCACAGGAATACGTAGCATGCGTGATTGGACCACTTGCTTCACGAGGGACCCACTGCATGAAGAGGACACAATTTTGTAGAAAGAATGTCAGGAGCTTTGATGACAAAATCCCCAAACTAAAAATATTGATAAATATTTGTGAGACTATTTCACTATTTGCATAATGTCCAGTGAGCAATATCCATGGGACACATTTCCCACATCACAACAGAAATGAGAGACCTATCTCAATGAAATAACAAATGAAGAGGTGAAGAGGGCAACTGAAATATTTCCAGACAGTATGCCAAACCTGCTTGAGGCATTCCAATTTTGGTGCTTCAAATATAGCTATCTGTGTTTCATGAACCGCAAGCAAATGTATCTGGTCAAGGTGAAATTGAACACGAGTATCTGCAAGAGAAGAAGCAACCCGTCCAGTTGGCATTTGCAAGAATTTACTAGCTTGTTTCTCCCACGCATCGGTGCTCCAAACACACAACTGTAGAGGGAAAACATGTACAGAACTGAGTAATTCCAACACCAAACACTTGATGATCAGGCCATCAGATGCACAAGGATGTAAAAGATGGCAAATCTATTATCTAGGAAGCCACATAACAAAAGAAGTTTCCAGACAAAGCTCAAATCATAGCCTCTAAAATGGTCTCAAACAGAAAAAACAAGACTTTCCTTGCAAGCCTTTCCAAAATCCGTTACCTTGTATCAGCAGGCTTGGTTGCTTATTCTATGGTAACACAGACAGACTTGCATTACCAATAATTCATACCTGCGAGTCAGCTCCGGAAGACACCAGGACATTTAGAGAGTGCGAGAAGGCGAGTCCTGTAATTCTTTTCTGATGACCTTTTAACTTTGTTTTAACCTGTGATATGGAATCATTCAAATTGTTGATAATCCTGTTTTTCTACTTCCAATAGAAGGTTCAACATTTTGAGGTATCTAAGCAAATACCTCATCAACCCTGACATTATAAATTTGTATAGAAGAGTCCTCCATGCCAATAGCAATGATATTGTTGTCTTGAGGGTGAAATGCTAAAAATGTTGCAGCTGGTGGTGGAGCCATGAATGTTGTCATTGTCTGTAATCAAGAAAAATGGACTATAAATATAACAAGGGCAGATCAAAAGTACAGCAAAACTAGAATTCAATGCATTGATAATTAGTCTCCACTGGAAGACCACTCAGATCCATCTGCAAACTGGTAATTTACACCATGGAAATATAAATAGTCATAACTTCTTCAGGCATACATCCTTCAAACATTTTCGTTTTTCAATAAGAAAAGTTGGTATTATGTTGCTCAAAAGAAAAGCAAAGTTAAGGGTAAAAAGCTACTGCAACTATAATGGCTGAAACACACATCATAGACTGTTCCTTGACAAGGTCCTGGTATCACACAAAAAATTCAATCAAGCATAGAGAATGGAACTTAAAAAGAAAAAATCGTGATAGAACATTTACCTTAAATGTCATCATATTGAAAAGAGAAATCTTCCCTCCTGAAGCTGACATAACATAAGAATCATTCTTTGAAAGTGCAAAGCACGGAACAGCATCTTCAGGATTTGTGTCACTGATATCATTAGTCATCAAAATTCCGCTAGAAGGCTGCCATAATTGAGGTGGTACACTAGCAGTGGCCTAGAACAGGTAAAACCTTTGTTAAAGGCAAGGTTATTGAAATCAACGGAACAAAATAGACATGCTACCTTCCAACATGTAAATTAAGCAACTTCAAAGCACATGCCTTCCCACATCACAAAAAAAAAAGTCAGCACAATAAAAATACCTTCCCGGTCAAGTTGCGATCATTTCTCTGCCACTTCCAAAGCTTGTGCACTGCATTAGATGCTAGTGCCAATATGGCAACTCCCGAATTTGTAAAAATTAATCTAGACACCTGAAACAGTTGTCACCAAACCCATAGTTACAACTGCTAATTGTTGGCTTCAAGAACATCACATACAAAACAATCTCAAATGCATAAAAACTCAGCTGCAAAAGAGCGACTATTAAACAATGATAGTTAAAAATTTGACCAACAGACATATCCTCAAGCCTAGACCATAGCTGCTAGTCTTTGACACCAAAACCATAAGTATTAAAATGCCAAACATGGACATTCTGCATAAAACGATGTAATTATCCCATTGCATTTAATGTCTTCCATGAACCAATGGTAAGAACTAGCATGTCAACTTATTATGGCCAGCCACAGTGCCACACAAAATAGTCCCATAAATAGATAGATAAATAGATCAGAAGGGAGGGAAAGGAAAGGTAAAGGAGAAAAAAGCATGGAGAAAATTACAATTGTACTAAAGTTTCAGCGGTATTATTCAGGAGTACAATCATTTTCCTCAAATCAAGATCATATGAATAAACAGCATAATAAAAACCTTCTAATAACATTTTCAAGAAGTAGAGCATACCCTCATGGCAGTCAAGCTATCAGGGAGCCTCAGGGAGCGGCACTGTGATGGTTCATTTATTTCTGTTAATTTCCAGATCCTAGATTTTTCAATTGATTCATCTTGAATTTTAGGCTTCACGTCAACTAAACTTCGATTGTCACTAGTCTGTAGAAACTCAAAACAGAAGGAAAATGTCAAATCATTGAATGTGTAACTAGATCCTTTTGCATTGAGATACACACGTGGCAGTATGTAAATGAGATTACTCTGGCTGGAGAGCAACACATACCATTCCAACCATGGGTGCTGCAGGAGCAGCTTGATTATCGATGCTAGTTCCAACTGTGGCATTAGCAGGTGGAAAAGTGCCTATTGCAGGGGCCTGATACAAATCATACATTAACAGAGTTGCAAGCGATGTGAAAATGTCAGATATTTTTACTTTCTAATTGCATAACTCTAGTAACACAATGATGCTAAAAAGAATTTTCATGCCTATCAAATTTTACCTTCGCAACAGCAGCAGAAGCAGCTCTAGAAGCATCAAATGTACGATTCTCCACTGTTCGGAGCAGCCTGATCCCATCTGAGTTTGCTAGAATTTTGATGCTATTGTCATTTGTTGAGACAGCTAACAGCGTTCCTTCCTTGTTAAATCTAATACAAGGAGAAGCCTGCAAATTCATGACAAGAGAGTTGTTAAACGTTAACACTGTAGTTAAAGATTTTAGAACTGTTTATTTCAGGTAGAAAATTCAGAATTTAATTATGTTTAATTGTCTCCTTCCCTCTATTGGAACTATTGTCAAGTTTCCCTGTTCTTATTGGATTTTGGTTTTGTCTATCTCATATTTGCCTATATCGTCACACACGCACATATATATAGCACCTTAGTTGGTCTTATACAATTCAAAATAAACAGATTTTTCAGAAATAGGTTCTCTTGGACTTTTAAGTTTGTTTCATTTACCAATTGACCCTACATCAAAAGGCCTTAATCAGACAAATTTAATAAGGACTATCAGAACTTTACCGGCAGTCCACCCTCTGCATCAACAGTTGTCAACAGGTTGTTGTTATCCATGTCCCAAAACTTGATCATGAAATCATCCCCAGCTGCCAAGAATCGATTTTTAGTGGTATCAAACTTCACAACACCCACAGAACGCTTTGCAAGACCATTATAGGTACGTTTCACAGCTCCTTCGCTTTCATTCCACTCCACCAAGTGTGATTCTCCTTCTTTGTTTGTCCCACATGAGAATAACCTACAAGTTGTCCATAAAAATGATACGAATATCTCAGTTGAGATAAAAAAGAAGAAGAAATGTCAATCTCCCATCACCGGCAGAAAACATAAAATCATCGAAGCATACAAACCTAGTTCCATCAGCACTGTATGCCATTGTGGTAGAAGAATGCCCTGGTGCATTATAGTCCACTCTTGAACCCGCATTATCATACAACCATGCCTTTATCTTTCCATCAGTAGCAGTTGAAAAGATAAACTGGGAGAAGGTAAGAAAGAAATAAAATTAAAGAAGAAAAGGGATAGATACTCAGAAAATTGAAGAGTGACTCCTCTCTCCCTCTCTTAATACTCTTTAACCTCACTTCACTCTCTACTATAATTTTACTTCTTGTATCCAATCTCCTCTTTTCTTTCTCCAACCTCCCCTTTCATTGTTCTTTTGTTTTTGTTTCAAACAGTTTCCATACACAGAAGTTCCCAAAATATTTCATTTTTCTGTCTC